GGGTTTAGGGTTTAGGACTTGTAGGGTTTAGGACTTGTAGGGTTTAGAGTTTAGGGCTTAGGACTTGTAAGGTTTAGGGTTTAGGGTCCTCTAATCAAGATCCTATTTAGGGTCCCCCACTCTCTGAGACTCCCTTTGCTGACCTGCTTGCAACAAGTATGATGGAGCAGCTTTGATGGCCACACGGCCCACCTTCAGTCGACACGACTAAAGACGACATCGTACTGAAGGGCCGCTTGAGAGAGTACACTCGGTCGGGCAGGAAAACTTCGCGATGCCAAAGGCAAGTCTGCTTCATAAGCAGGGTGCGAAGAGTAGTGCCACACCTCCATGGGCTACAGAGACAGTAACAGCGTTCATACTTCCGAGATCAGCACAACTACACCATCAAAACACAACCGAACCACACCAAGAGCATCTAAGGAATCTAAGGGAAGAAGTGGCCCCTTCTGGTGAAACGCGACAGTGGCAGATCTCCAGCTGCCAGCCTCGCTCACGAGTATGGTGAAGATTGCATGAACGGATGTTCACCGGGAAAAAAGATGTAAATGATCGGTCTCGGTTCCCGTGACGATAAACAGCCACGATTCCCACTCAGAAGGTAGTGGCAGATAACATCCTGTTTCCCGGTGGAATGCCTGCAAGCTGCGTCACCGTGTCGATTTCGAGACCTGTACTGAAGTACTGACGACGGGAAGAGTTGATCCATCACTCCAGGTCGCCACCAACTACAGGCGCAAACTCGAAGGCATCTGCTTCTCTGGGTGCCTCTAGCACCTTTTGCGACTCCTCCTTAAATGATTTTGTACAATCGAAAAAATGCCGATGACCGGACGAAAACTCAGGGCACTTGCCACTCAGAGATGTAGCAGCATGGTCTGCGAGCGGCTGATGCACTGATGCACCTTCCGCTGGCGCATGATCTGAGGATGCGCCGTGCTGGCCCTGGGGTGTAGCTACGAGTAGGGACGGGTGATCCTCTTCCTGATCCGAGCGCATGTCATCCAGGTCCTCCTGCAAAGGGACGTTGACTACGCTTGCCGAAAGAGGAAAGTCAAGAACAATACGGGCATGCTCGTGCTCGCGCTCTTGATCATTCTGGGAGTCAGCCACCATGACTCTCGATCTGCAGCTGCAGCCGGTCGCTCCTGTGCCGGCTAGCGTTTCCGCTTTCTGACGAGCTCCAATCGCTTCCGCGGGATCTGCTTCCGCATCCCCCCTGGGCAGCACTCTAATCGCGGAAGAGACCAGGCGATCCCCCCCGAAGTTTCCAGATGCATTCTCCGCCTCCTGTGGCACTTTTGACACTGATGTGTCGGACGAGCGAAGAAAGCTCCGAAGAGCTTGGAACATGTTTTGCCTCGCCCTTGACGGCGGCGGCAAAGGGATAGACCTGATCCGCCTCTTCGCCGAAGTCCATATACGACCAACTCCGCCCAGCGAAGGGGCTGTGGATGCGGCAGCTCTGGTGCTTGGCAAAGCTTCCTCGGACATGTCCGGTGCATCTTTTCCGCAGAACTCTTCCTTGCTGCAATCTCCCGGTGCATCTAGATGACCATAGTGCGACAGGGCAGCATGCGCGATCCGGACCGCCCGAGACTTACCGCCCGTCGTCACCAGAGGTTCCAGGTCCAGAAGCTCTTTGAAGCACGCCCTGGCGGTTGGACGATCCTTGGCCTCTCTGGACATCATCCCCCAGACCCCCGGGAGGATCCAAAAAGTAGATCCCTTAAGGGGGCTCCCATAAAGTACCCTGTAGTAGTTGGGGTCCCAAATTAGGGGGATCTACCTTTTTAGATCCTTGGCCTCCCTGGACATCATCCGCTGCACCAGAGACGCAACTGCACGCCACCTCTCGTCCTTCAACTCGGGAATCTCCGCCTCGAAACTGAGTAGAAAAGCCCGAAAAAAAAAAGGTTAACCTTTTCAGCGGTGATCAAATGAAACTAGATAAAACCCCAATCGGCCCTAAACCCAAAACCCTAAGCCCTCACCCATTCGGGTTAACCCCAAACCCTAAACCGGAAACCCTCACCTATTCGGGTCAACCCTAATCCCTAAACCCTCTTGGGCCACTAAGCCACCTCACAGCCCCGGGTCTTCTCCAGTGTCTCAGCGTGAGTGTTGCCCAAGAAAGGCAGAGCTCGAAACATCATGAAGTAACCTGGGTTTAGGGTTTAGGGTTTAAGGATGTTTCTAAGGTTTAGGGTTTAGGGCTTCCGTTTCAGAGTTTATGGGGTTCTTGGTAAGTTACCATGATAGGAGGCCATACTACATGTTACCATAGATCCCCGGTATGGTAACTAAGACTGAACTTCTTACCAAAAGCTTAGTGACTCATGACTCCCAAAGCAAACACATCCACAAGCTCGTCATAGTACTGCATGGTAACAGCTACCATCTCAGGCGCGGCATAGCCTGGCGATCCAGTAGATTGGCACATGGCTTCCTGGTCATGTCGGTATGCAGCAATGCCGAAGTCAATGAGCACTGCGCGATCCTTATGCATGACCACGTTCTCTGCTTTAACATCACGGTGCACGATGTGCAAGAAGTGCAAGTGGGTCAATGCTGATGACAAGCCGGCTTGAATATCCAGAATGAGTCCCAGCGGCAAGCACTTTGCCTTGATCTTGTTGAAGAGATCACCTTCGGTGCCATGCTCCATCGCAAGGAACCATGTCACGCCGAACTTCCGCGCCTCTGCGTAGACGCCTAAACAGGCTGAGATGTTTGGATGACCCGCCGACTGCTGCAGGAAGCCCACCTCTCGACGAGCCATCGCCGAATCGAGGGGGTCCCAAATCTTCACAGCCACCCGTCCGAAGTTGTGGACGTTGCTCATAGTCAGCAGGTCCGCTTTCGAAGGGATCAGCTTACGGTGCTCTTCATAGAGAGGGAGAAGGGACAAGCTGCGAAAAATCGTGCCTTGGGATCCCCGGCCTAAAGAATCGGCAGAGAGGTGAAGGCACTGTCGAGAATCCCAGCGAACAGCCCCGCGCCTGCTAAGACTCATGATGAGGTGATCCAAAGAAGAGTCGCCGTAGGCACTCGTACAAAGCAGCCAGACCACTGATTTGGCTCTGCCAGAAGCACGGGGAGCAATCAAAATGATGTGCGTGGCATCTGGTGCTCGTGAGAAAGGCGATGCCAGTTTCGAGTACACAGGTGCAAACATGACATCTGCAAGCAAAATCGGGATAAGCAAGGACGACATGCCATTTTCTTCCCAAAGGATTCCTTCTTTGCTCAAGCAAAGTGGTGACGAACCGGACGGCTTCCTTAAGCCGCTGAAGTCCGCACACCAGCGGCTGCTACTTCTTGACTTTGAAGAAAGGGCCTGCCAGCGGCACGCTGGAGAATCTTTTCCAAACGATACCTTCGCTCTGCAGATTCCAGAAGGAAGTTGTCGCAGCATGCTCGGAAATCTGCTCCCAATCCTTGTGGCCACGACACCTTGGGAGACAGGTGAACGCCATGAAGCCAGCACTGAGAAGCACTCATAGTCCCAGCACTAAGACATGGGGAGCACTGCGATTCAGAAGCCTCGAGCCGTCGTGCAACGGGGTTTTAATTTTTTAGGACTAAGAATTTTCGGTCTAGCTGGCCTGGGACGAAGTGTTCAACCCTAAACCCTCAACCGTGTTCAGCTGCCTAAACCGGAATACCAGAAGCTCCCGCTGTACCCACCGTGTGCAGCTCCTAGGAGCCCCAAACCCTGCGCACGCAGGCCCCCAACATAGGGCCTAAGTATGTGGAGTCGGGTTTGGGGGGGTATATTACAACGTAATTATAATCGGAACCCTCGGGAAGAGTATCACTGAATAAGTTAAGTTTCTATATCACAACCGCTCGTTTCAGCCTTGCCGTACCAGCCAAACCGTTCCACACTAGGCAAGACAGCACAAGAAACCCTAAGCCCTAAACCCTAAACCCATATAAAGGCCTCAGGAAAGAACGCGAGCTCAAAAATCAGTAGCAGCATTCCTGCCGAACCTTTTATCGTGAAAGCCGCATTACACCCTAACCCGAAACCTTAAACCCTAGGACCCCAAAACCTGAAACCCTGAACTCGAGGGCCCCAAAAACTGCGAAACCCGAAACCCACAGACTACAGTACCCAGAGAACGCAATACCCCTTAAATTAGGAATATACTTAAACTATAGGGGCCTTAGTAGTATGATTTAATGTATATATTCCTTAATTAAGGGATATTGGGTTTTCTGGGTATGAATCAACCGCGGAACTTCAAACCTCCCAAAAACTACCTAAGTCAAAACCCTCAAACTACAATCCTTAACCCTGAACCCGAACCTTACTTACTACGGTTGATGATATACAACCTGCATTACCTTAAGGATCCTAAACTATAGGAGTTATGGTATATTCCTTACTATGGGTCATGCAGGATTTCTACCATGAACCGTATGATTCTCCAAGTACCCACGTCGGATCCTGTGGGTAGTTCTCTGGATTCTAGATGGCGGTGCCAGTTAACCCTTTTTATTAGGATGCCGCCTGTTTTTGCGCTCTTAAACAGGGACACTACTTTGGAGAACTACCCTTATAGAGACCCTGTAGAAAACCTTATAGAACCCCTGTAAGGAACCCTAAAAAAGGACCCCAGTTATCGAAAACTACCCAAGTAAAGTAACCATGCTGTTGATGGTACAAATCCTGCATTGCCTTAAGGGCCCTAAACTATGGAAATTATGGTCTATTCCTAATTATTGGTAATGCAGGATTTATATACCTAAACCCTAAACCCTAAACCCCTAAACCCCTAAACCCCTAAACCCCTGTACCCAAGTAACCATACGTCGGATCGTTCGGGCACGCCTCGCTTTGCTTGCCCACGTGGCGTAGGGCCCAGAGCCTAACCCAGGACGCACTTCAGGGTTTAGGGTTTAGGGTCTAGGGTTTAGGGTTTAGGGTGTGGGGTTTAGAGTTTAGGGTTTTATGGTTTCGGGTTTCGGGTTTAGGCCTTAGGTGTCAGAGTACGTTATCATATACTGATATTGAATAAGGGACCCCAAAAAATACTGCTGACAACTGCTCCGATACCTACACTAACGCAGGCGCCTTCAAAACTCGATTAGGGTTTTACCAGGGTTCTTTAAGGGATCTATACCGGGGGGCGGGGGGGGGGGCCTCATGGGCTTTGGCTTAGGGTTTAGGGTTTGGAACAGTTTGCCATGTACTTGTGACGCGACCAACTTACATGCTACTCGTCAGTCCTCATCCTCCAGGCACCCGGAGATTCAATACCGGTTGAGTAAAAGATTCAGCCCTTTGAGCCGTATTGTTCAGGAGCTGATACATCGGGGCTGAGTACCATAGCCCAAAAAAGGTTAACCTTTCTAGCTATGGTAGGGTAATATAAACCCCAAAAGGTTAAAGGCTACCTGCCCAGCCCCTAAGGATACAAACGTCTAAGGGATTGTAATGGTACTTCCTGATGGCCCCTTGAGCCCCCCTTACTATGTTCATTCTGGTTTTGAGGTCTGCACCAAAACCTTCAACAAGGAAAGGTGAACATTTCGCAGGATCCCTAAACCCCAAAACCCTAAACCCATATGAATTCGGGCCTTAGGGTCTAGGCTCCGGTGGCCTCCGGCTGTGAAAAGGGGCTCCTGATCTGATTCTAAATGATATACTCTAAACCCTAAACCCTAAACCAAACCCTGAACCCTAAGCCCTAAACCCGAAACCCGAAGCCCTAAACCCTAGACCCTGAACCCTAAACCCGAAACCGACACGGTTTAGGGTTTAGGGTTTGAGTACCGGGCTCTCCGGGAAAAGCAAGAGTCGAGGATGGGGCAGAGAGCGTGGGAGTTTTGGGGTGAATATGGTAGCGCCTGAGTGTTTGGGGTTTCGGGGCTTGGGGTTTGGGGCTTTTAAGGTTTGGGGTGTAGGGTTCAGGGCGTTTGGGCTTTAGGGTTTAGGGCTTTTTAGGGTTTGGGGTTTAGGATATGAGTAGGGCCTGAATTGGGTTCGTGACGAAAGGCGTAGAAGACGCGACTTCTCTTGGGAAGAAACTGCCATTTCCACTAACTCCACTGATGCTGTTCGAAGAGTCACTGAAAAGCCGCTTCTGCCTTAACTTAGACGTCGATGAAATTAAGAAGCAAATTGAACCTGCCAAAGCTGCAAAGCGACAGTTTCAATTGCCATCTCGATGATTTCAACCAACTTCGTCAAGTCATTGCTCGTCTTTCAGCTCTTGGTGAGCAATCCGCCGCTTTTTTCACACATTTGTCGGCCGCTTTGGTGGGATTCGTATCCTTCTTGTTGTCACTGCTTTGCTGATATCCCTTTCATTATTGTGCAGTGTGAACGGCTTTCGTGTCTCCTTGACACCTGGCTTTGCGAAGCCGACACCAGCAAACCCTAAACCCCAAACCCTAAATTAGCCGGCCTAAACCCCAAAACCCTAAACCCTAAAACCCTAAACCCTAAAACCCTAAAACCCTACAACCCTACAACCCTAAACCCTAAACATCCAGCATTACAAAACGCTCTAAGTGAGTCCTAACCTGGCCAAAGTGCAACAGGTTCGCTTGATTCGCTCTCTGACCGACAGATTAGGGTTTAGGGTTTAGAGATTGGGGGTATGTTATAGCATAATTCCAAGCACTGGCCGGAATCATGTCAATGAATATTCCGGCATAAATGCTTAGGGTAACTACACCTACAACTCCTGACAGCTCTATTTAACTTTCTTATCGCCATACTTCCTGAGCCCCATGATCCTGATCTTATCATACATTATACGACGTTATATACTAGTATGAATATTGAAGTTTTGATACGAATATTGATGCTAAGTGTTCAAGCAGGGGCTCAGGGCCCCTGAAACCCTTTAGACCCCAACCCCCCTCCCCCCCCCCCTCCACAAAAATAATCACCCTGCCATGGGCAAAGCCGAAACGACCATCGCCCAAACCTCTAAAACCGTTGAAGCCTAGCAGTACCCGTATAGAAACCCTATAGAAACCCCTATAGATCCCTTTCAGGAACCCTAAAAGGGACCCTAGTTTCGAGAACTACCCAAGCCCTGAGATGTAGGGGCCTTAATAACTAGAATAGGGTTTTGGGGTATGCTATACTAAAATTATGCTAAGGACCCCCCCAAAAAAAAAAAACACAATATATATATATACATATATACATAAACATATATATATATACATACATACATACATACATACATACATGTATATATAGGCAATGTATTAAGGCCCCTATATTGAGTACTGCCCCCACAGTAACAGTCTATAATATTGCTCGTATTAAGGGCCTTATATATCCATATTATGAATATTACTCAACTGGGGCAGTATCCAACCTGAACCCTAAACCCTATCCCCAAACCCTAATCCCTAAACCCTAATCCCAAAGCCCTAAATACTATCCCTAAACTCTAATCCCTAAATCCTAAACCCTATCCCTAAACCCTAAACGCTAATCCCTAAACCCTAAACCCTAATCCCTAAACCCTAAACCCTAATCCCTAAACCCTAAACCCTAAACCCTCAAGAAAGAAATAAATAGAAATTGCCTGTCGCTGTTGGCCATTCGAAAGCTCATATTTTCGGTCGGGACACAATGTTCCATTTTCGAATAAACCAATTTCCGTTTCA